TCATTCATTAGTACCTTGAAGTTTATGATTTTACACCTGACTTGCTATTTGCCATAGAAAAGAGTTATATTATTGGGTACATGATGCCTCAGCAGCATCTCGGTGTGCCTATTTAACTCTCTAATCCTGTGCTTGCTGGTTGTGTTCGGTATGCATTTAAAAGAAGAAACTGAATCAGAATGCTTAGCCGAAACCGGAATTATTCCAGTAGGTCCTGACAGTACATAGAATATGCATCATATCAGCATTTCGACCTCGAGACTTCCTCGTTATATATACTTATTCACAAATTTTATAGATTGAGTAAAGTGCATGACATGCTTGGAAACGTTGATTTGAAAATGAAGCCACCTTTTTGTACACATGAGACGCTTAGGATGAAACTAGTAAAGGAAATGAATTCGGAACATATCAATTGACGCTCTCTGAAATAGTATGGATTGTGCTAAACTTACATGGATACATGCATGATAGCATATTTGCAACTACAATTCGAAAAACCATATATTCAGGTTTGTGAGCTTATTTCTTCTTCACCAAGCTAAAGTCGGAACAATATTCCTGCACGCCCTACTACTCTGATATTGTAGATTCCATAAACAAATTCTATAAACCACTTAGGCTTTTCATATTTAAAGGTAACATATCCCGCAACCAATCCGAGTAATACTCCACATCCGTACCCAAGGAGAACAACTTGCCATGTGAATCCATCTAGAAAGTTGAACTCATCATCTTGTCCCGGCAACATGATGGGAAGTTTCGGTAGTACTTCATCATTTTTACATATCTTTGTCAATGGGCGTCCACATAATCCTGAGTTCCCAACAAATGAGTCGTTGTTAAATGTAAAAAACTGCTGTTGCACAGGTATGGAACCAAAAAGCTGATTGTATGAAAGGATGAGGACGGACAAAAATGTCAATCTAGTTAATTGCCAGGGTATCTGTCCTACCAATTGGTTTGAACGAAGGTCCAATGTTTCGAGTGAAGTCAAATTCTCTAGCGATGATGGGATATGACCGGTAAAATTGTTATAAGATAAGTTCAGAGATCGTAGGAACTTAAGTTTTCCTATTGAACTTGGAATCTCTCCTTGGAATTTGTTGTGGGACAGATCAATGCTTGTATAGGTCTTTCTGATAAGAATAGACTCAAGCTCGATCTCTTTTAGCAAAATGGTTAAAGGATATGTGTAATATGGGTATATTTCCATTTCCTTTTCCTTTTCACTCACAATCATCATGGCTTTGAATTGTTCTAGATATCCAATTGGTAGAAGTCCATTGAACTCATTATGGGAGATGTCAAGAATTCGTAACTTAGAGAAGGGTAGCCTTGCCTTTGATGAAGCAGGTATTCTGTTGGAAATGGGTCAAGTTTGACCAATAATCAGGGTGGGACCCGGTATCCATTTTGTGTGGGTCAATGGGCAAACTCATTCTATTCCGCGCGTAGATATTCGTGATATATTTGATTTCACAAAACCATTTCCGGATGAATGAGAAATTAATACTAGAAGTTGGCAACTTGAAAGTAAAAATCCTGAAATTTAAAATCAAGTGTGTGAACTTTATCCCACATAGGAAGTTGAAAGAATTTTGAATCAATTTATATACCTCAAGGTTGGATATGGGTTTGGGCCCCAAGGGGTACCAATAGTATTTGAAAGGGGAAAGTCTTAGACAATGTATAGACTAGTCCAAAACCCACACGCCGTAGCCGCCGTCCAACCAGCTGGCTCGGCTCGGCACGACACAAGCACAAGCCGGGGTCGGATCGGGTGTCGTGGTTGGTTCCTNGCGTCAACTGTAAGCACCGTAGCAGGCCAAAATCGTCTTAAGGAAATAGAGTCGAACTCTAGCCTCAATCTACTGTTTTCTGCAATTTTGTTTAGCGTTTATTCGGTTTGCCATTTCCTTCTCTTCATTTTTTATTTTTGTTATATAAGTCGCATGCTATATAATGTTTTTAACATATTCTACCATGGAATTTGTTGAACTTCAATATAAGAACTCGAAGCTCTGGAGGACTTCCCATCCATCCGGGGAAAGAGTCGCTTATCTTGTTGTGTCCAATATCTAATACTTCAAGATGCTTACAGTTTATCCAGGTGTGGGGCAATGATCCCTTCAATTGATTCTTGGATAAGATAACATGCTTCAGTTTACATCCCTTCCGAGATATTGCAGGAATTGTGCCACGAAAATGATTATTCATCAAATTCAAAAACTTCAGCCCTTTACTGATCAAGTTTTCGAAACAATTTGGAATTGTTTCTTCCAAACTATTATGATCTAGAAAAAGATATTCAAGGAAACTAAAATTGCAAATGAATGATAGAATGTTGCCTGAAAAATTATTTTGGCTCAGAGTTAGAACCCTCAATCTACTAAGTTTAGAGATGGTTTTGGGAAACTGCCCACTCAAATGATTTCCACTGAGATCAAGAAATTGCAATTTTGTTAAATCTCCAACCTCAGATGGAACTGTTCCAGTAAGACTGTTGGAGCAAAGTTTCAGAAATTCAAGTTTTGTCAGATTCCTGATTGTTGGAGGTATGAGACTTGAAAATGAGTTCTTAGATAGATTAAGGATTTCCAGATTGGGCATCAAACGAAAAAAATCGGGGATTGAACCAGAGAATAAGTTGTGCTGTAAGCAAAGATCTTTCAACTTCCTTAGCTTGCCCTGATTGCTGAATAATGGAATTTCGCCAGTCAAGTAGTTAGTGACAAATCAAGATATGTAAGGTTCTGGCACAAGAGTATGAAATCAGGAAATTCCAAAGTGAGGTTGTTGCTGTAAAAGCTGAGGTGTGTCAATAAGGGGAAACCTCGGAATTTAGACCAGTTTGGAGTCTCTAAGAAATTGAGTCCAAAATCTAAGTACCATGCTTTTTGAAGATCACTAATTTGATATGGAACTAGACCACGTTGCCATAGAAACTAATGTACCGAAGCTCTGTCAAGTTTCCAATTTCCGGTGGAATGATACCTCGGAATACATTGTTGCTCAAGTCTAAGATAGTGAGTTTGACAGACTGCCAATAGTAGATGGTATGAACCCACTGAAATTGTTATTTTTGAGGTTGAAATGTGTGAGATTTGAAACTGAAGCAAAATCGAGTTGTTGGAGCGTGCCATTAATGTTTGCATGAGATAAGTTTATCTCAGAAGTCGACCCCTCAGCGTTGCACACAATTCCCTGCCATCTACAGAGATTAGTATGATTGTGGAAGTTCCATGAATCGAGAAAATCATGTGATGATAAGGTGTTCTTCCACCTTACAAGAGCCTCTGCTTCTGTTTTCACAGACGATTCAATTTGTAGCGAGAGAAGAAGAATATAAAGAAGGAAAATAAGAACTATTTTTGATGTTTCCATGCCTGTGCTTTGCTCAATGTGACATTGCATTTCCTCGTTTAATTCTTCTTATGTAGCAGTAGTAGTTAGGAAGAGAGGCATTCAATTCAAAGCACCCCATTCAAAACGCGTCACAAGAAATTATAACGATCTGATATTCATTTTTATCTTCCCCACCAGTCAAAAAGAAAGAAAAGAAAAACTTGAGGCCAGATCACTTTAATGTTAACTTTGATCAGTCAAGTGCAGAGGCCATGGAAACTGAAGAATCAAACTTTGAGTCTTCCACTAAGAGATCAAAAAGTTCAGAGTCTTCCACCATGAGATCAAAAAATTCCAAACTAAATGTGATGATTAAGAGACTATCTTAGCTTCGAAATACAAGGTCGTCTTTTTTTGAGAGGAAAAAGGTATTCGTTTTGGTACAACACTCTTGAAATGGTTAGTACATTCCCCTCAAGAAATTGCTACACAGGTCTGAGAAAGTGAGGTTGGAGAGAAGTAATAATAGGTAGAGAGAGGAGCGTTTAGGGAGAAGGGGAGCGATTTTGCCAGTAGGATTTGACAGAAAACTCGACATAATTGTACGTAACAATAGATGATTTGATGAAAAATTGTTTTAAATTGATAGAATACCATGTGACATTATTTAAGCTTTATATAAACCATGATGTTCATGTAGCATGATTGGTTTGAAAATTGGTGGGCCAGAGTTGGGTATATGTGGTCGAAAGTGGAAATGACCAGTCAATAGAAGTCGTGTGACTCACAGCTCGAAATTGTGCAAAGGTAACTGTAGGCAATCTCACTTCCAGTTTTCCAAAACCCTTAAAAATCACCATATCTGAACCCTCACCATCTCCACTTCTCTCGCGCTCAAACGCACGCTGAAAAATGGCCGCCGCTATAGCCCGATCAATCCTGTCCGTCCGATCAATCGGTGCCACAGCTTCTCTTCTCCTCCAGAAACGCCTCTTCTCTTTCTCTATTTCCAAAACCGGTTACGTCCGCCCCGGAACAGGGCCCGTTTATTCCACCCGCTTTGTCGCACCAGCTGCCTTATCCCACTCCCTGCAGGTTACTTCTCCTAACTTGACCCGGTACAACACTGTCAGATGCCGAGTCAATCGGTCCGGCTCTTCTTACTCGCCGCTGAACTCGGGGTCGAACTTCGGTGACCGCCCACCCACGGAAATGGCCCCGCTTTTCCCCGGATGTGATTATGAACACTGGCTTATTGTCATGGATAAGCCTGGTGGTGAAGGGGCGACTAAGCAGCAGATGATTGATTGTTATATTCAAACGCTTACTAAAGTTGTTGGAAGGTTAAATTTTTATGCCTTCTTGATGTTGGATATTTCTTTATATTTAATAGCCTGATATTTTTACTAAATATATGATAATATTCACATTTTGGGTAATGGAAATAAACTTCAGGCAAATTACATCTTTGGTTAAGCTGAAAGTTCATTTATATGTAAACTTAAAAGTAAGAAAGTTATGAATCACATAATTTCATTATAGAATGTTGAAAATAAGTAAATTTTGACTGTAGGGATTGGGTTACTTTCAAAAAAAAAAAAAGAAAAAAGTAATTTTCTCCTATCAATACACATTTCTTTAAGAAGTTGAAGCATTATTACTCCTTTTTTTAGCCGAACATGCTAAGAATAATGTTATTTGAGAAGTTTTTAGATTTAAAAAACTCTGTATCTTGCTGTGAAGAATAGTGTCGTATTTGTATTTTCTAATAACCAGTCGGTTGATAGAGAAAGGAAACTGTGCGACATGAAGTAATATGAATTTTCATTTATGAAATGGAATTTTTGATATTATATATTGTTGGATACTTATTACTGGGTTATGGATTGTGTCTGGTGGTTTCAATAGTGAGGAGGAGGCTAAAAAGAAGATATATAATGTGTCATGTGAGAGGTACTTTGGATTTGGATGTGAGATTGATGAGGAGACCTCAAACAAGCTTGAAGGTTAGTTCTTGCCTATTGGCAAATGGCAATTGATTTTTTTGTTCTTCTCAAGAATTTAGTTCAATTATTGATATGAATCAGACATATGATTAGGCATAAACGGCTTTTTATATCATTGTTTCAACTTTTTCCATTTTTGTGTAGGATTACCTGGTGTTCTGTTTGTTCTTCCGGATTCTTATGTTGATGCTGAGAATAAGGACTATGGAGGTAATTCTTCTTCTATAAGTTTCTTTCTGTCATATGTTTGTATGTGTTGCTCTTTTCATCCAATGTGCACTGCTGGCTTTTGATATGATGATATGTTTGCCTTGTAATAGTTATTTCTAATTGTACCAAGTTGGCATCTGGTTCAAGTATATATATTAGATAGTGTGGTAGTGTCAATTATCATATAAACCTTATTCGTTGGTAACTTTTATGGACTTCAATTTTCTTAAGTTTTGAGTAAAATTCAAAACGATAACCTCAGTTTAATAGAACAGGGCTAGGATATTCTGTTATGAATTTCCATTTTCTTGTTGAAGAGCTTTATATTAATCTTTATGCATTTATATTTCTCTAGTGATGAGTTTCATATTTTCCTATTGTTTTTTACCTGTAGTATAAAAATTAAAATGTATGCCGCTTGTAACTTGGTTCAGTTAGTTAAGACTGAAGAGTTGTGAGAGGACTTTCAGCATCACTCAATGCCAGTGGGTTTTATTCAAGATATCTGATGCTGGAATGGAATATGCAATTTGCCAGTGTCCTTCCTAATACGTAATATTACTGAGTGGAAAATAATATTGCTGGAGTATGCCTGTGTGTACTACTTAAACCTCTAAAACGATAAATAGTAACTCAAGATTTCTAATGGGAAATTATTAAGACGTATGGTGGAAGAAGCCCCTTCTGAATCGGATATGCTACATACCACTCTTTACCAATTGCCACTCTTGGTACTATGGACGAGTAATAGGTTGCACTTTGTGTAGCAGCTGATGAGTATTGAATGTGAAATAAGGATGTTGTGACTCCAAGTATTTCCATTTTCACTTGTTTAATCTTATTCTTTTTATGACATCAGTTTGGTGGATCCGAGTGTGACAATCAATTATTTTACATTTTGTTAGTTGCAATACAATAATGTTGGATCAAGATAGAAAGAATTCCAGCCAGGGGTCCCGAACATGTCAACCTTTTGACGATGGGGTCCGGAACCTTTTTTTGGCCCTGGGTCCCTAACCTATGAAATGGTTGGACCATTATCCTTAGCTGATGGAAACACCAGTTTGACAATTAGAAAATCAGTTCTTGTTTAAAATGACATTTATACATTCATTTTAAATTATAACAAAAGAATTACAATAAAGAGAAAAGAATAAATCCCCTGTTTGGTTTAGATAAAAATCAGATTTTTAGTAAATTTTGATAAAAGTTGTTGGAATGCGTGGTTGAAAAGTTGTGAGTCCCATGAAATGTGGTTAAAATTAATTAATTATTGACATTGACTTAGATTTTAATTAGCTTTTCTTAGTTGAGCAAAACAGGGGCAAAGAGTAAGATTTAGAAAAAAAAAAGACAAAAGGAACATCCCTCGGGGCCCCCCAAAACTGAACCCATCTACACTGCCCAAACATGCTGCCGCAACTCCACCATCCACTGCCACACCACACAGGAAGCTTGCCATCTCCAGTTCAGGGGATGGAAGCCTTGGATATCGAAGATCCCATATTCCAACCCAATATCTCAAAAACCAAAAATCCCATAGTCCCCAGATTTGGTTCGAAGTGTGTCGTTTTTATCCTTATCCCAAAATCCAAGTAACACAACTTCTTTGCTTTCATCGTTTTAATTGTCCCCGTCCATGGTTGTTCGATAAGGTTGTTGAGGCTTGCAGAGCTTTTAAGATTGAGTTCATATCCGGGGTTATTTTCTTCTGCAGATTTCTGATTCTTGTCATGTGAGAAAAACGGCGATAGGGTTCTGTGTATATCAAGTCCAAAAGCTTGATAAAAATTGGTTCGTCTTTTTTTCTTTTTCTTGACTTTGTATCACCTGTTTTATGATAAAATGATCATTTTTCTTGATTTGATAGGTGCTCCTTTTTGCGGGTGAAATTTAGGACAATTTATTTATTTATTTTCTTAGAGATTAGAACACACTAGAACAACTATGCCCAAGATGATGAATGATGGGATGTGGTGGTGGCAGTGGGGGTAAAGAGAATGTTTTTTTTAGGAGTACAATGTGAATGGTGAGACAGGAATTGGAGTGTGTTGATCTGTAGCTTGGAGTTGTACAAGGGTACTAACAACTAGGTGAAATTGTTTTTTCTCTTATCTTTTTTATGTGTTTTCTGGTGTGATTTTATTCTTTAATAGAATCATATATTTGTTTCGCTCATGCCCTTGTTTAAAATTATATATGAAGATGTAGATGTTAAGAACTAAAATTGTGCCTTAAATTCATTTTCAGATCATTGATGTATTGTATTTGGTATATAAAAGTTCTGAAGTCATATTGTTTCAACGTTTACTTGTAAAAGAAAATTTGGACTTAAAGTCATACTTATAGCATATTTATTTTGTCCTAAAAGTATTTTGAGCATCATTGCTGTTTAATTGAGTCGTTAAGCCACGTTAGATATTAAAGCATTACTATGTAACATGGCATTTGAAAGAATTTGTTTATATTATGAAGATTAAGAATGAGATACATTCTTAATGTGTTTGAACTTTTCATTGGTTCAACAGCTGAGCTGTTCGTGAATGGAGAGATAGTTCAAAGGTCACCTGAAAGACAGAGGAGAGTGGAGCCTGTGCCTCAGAGAGCTCAAGACAGACCAAGATACAACGACCGTACTCGTTATGTGAGGCGCCGTGAAAATGCGAGGTGAACAGTGCATATAAGTCTATGCAGAGCCTAATTGTATGATATTTTGAATGCTTTAACATCAAGGGGTTGTATGTTGATATTATTCTGTTGCTGGATTGTTATGTACCTGTAGGCCAATATTCTGAATCAACTCTGGTAATATGACAAAGAATGCTTTAGTCTGTTCTCTACTCTTGGAATCAATAGTTCATAGATCTCAAACTGTTTTCCGTGGTGCAAGTCTACTATTTATCATCTATAAGTTATGATTCTGAGATGAAATTTTTGAAGTTGATCTGGGAATATGAATCATTAAATTTCTGATCGTTACATACCTTTAGTTTGAAAAATTATCATCAGAAGTAGCTAATCTGGTATTTGCTTGCCTTAAAATTTGTTTCTGCTGATTGCATTTAAGTTATGTTTTGCAAGTTGAATTATGAACTCATCTCTGTATTTGGTTAAATTGGATGGAGTGCATAGTCAGAGCAGATCCTTAGCGGTATCTCCTTGGGTTTAGAACCGAAGTTGATGGAATTGAAGGCACATTGGCAAGCACACTTGCTGAATTTTGTAACGTATTATCTGTAAATCTATTCTAGTTTTGTCTAGTCTTTTGAATAGCATAAGATTCAAGTGTCTGGAGAAAATCTAGTAGTAGAAAATTTTGAAACTTGTATAGTTTTCTCTATTGCCAACTTGCTGGGAAATTGAAGTTCAACCCTGTATTGTCCCCTTCTAGTTTATTAGTCTGGTTTAGCTCCCTTTTCTCTTTGAGCATCTAAATTCTGAGTTTGATGGAAGAACTAGAACAAGGTTAAGAGTACTTGGTACTACATCTTCAGTGTGGATTAAATTGCAATCACAGTTGAATAGGAGCTTGTTATTTGCTGAAGAAGTATTTGGAGTCAACTAAAAACATTGGCGCGCGACTGCTATGTAGGCTTTTGTTTACCAAGGGTTCGGTCCGTACCTTCAAAAAGATGGCTTTTACCGGATGAAATGAAAATTTTCGTGTGTCCTTTCCTTAATTTTTTCCATTCTACCAACGAATTATCTAGAATAATTCGTAAAATAGGAAAAATTCTGGAAAGAAAATGAAAATATCTTGGCCTTGGGTGAGTAACATATTGCGCATTTACCGTTGGGTTTCTAATTTTAGAAGATGATAATTTAAATTTTAAATAGTGATATATTATTAAAAAAATTAAATTATTCTACATATTCGTGTCACCATCATCTATCCTATCCAATTTCACTCCCAAACCCTAAATATTTCCATTCCTTCTTCTTTCTCTCTCTATACCGCCATTTCCTCCTATCTTATATTCACTCTTTCCCACCCTCTATATCGGAGCTGAAGCCTTTGCATGAAGCAGCGCCAACTGCGGCGGCGCGCTGAAGCACTGAGCGACGCTCTCGCTAATCGCGTTTCACAGCGACGGCGCACTTTCCAATCGTGATTCAAAGTGACGGCGCAAGCAAATTGGTAGATTCAGCGGTGGTGGTAATGGCATCGTGGCTTCAGAGCTATGGTGCTTGATGTTGCTACGTAGATTGGAAACTTCGAAAGGAGACCATTTGTTGTTGAAGTAGCACGGCTTGCACTGCAATTACTAGACTGTGGTTGTGAGGTGATGGTCTTAGTGTGGTTTTTAGTTGAGGTGCGGCTGTGTGGCTAGGTGCTCAATGCCATCTATTTTTTGTGTTGATTGTTGATAGTGTCGACTATGAATTTGGAGATTTTTTTTTTGGTAGGGGTTGTGTTTGTGGTGTGGTAGAGATGGGGGGCTATTGGTGGTGCGATGGTGGAGGTGGCAGTGGCGAGGGCTGAATTGGTGGTGGTCCAAGTGGCGGTGGTGAGAAGTTGGTGGTTCTGGTGGTCTAGGTGACAGTGGTCTAGAATTGTTCCCGGCGACCGGTGGAAGGTTACTATTTTGTATATAGATATGAGATGAAGATGAAGATGGTTGTAAACAGGGTGCTGGTGGTGACTATCGATGGTGACAGTGATGGCGATGGAGCATTTGGTGGTGCCAGGTTGTAGGGAGGACACGAAAAATAAGAACAGAGGTTGTCATTAATTATTTGGTGTTGGTGTGGTGGCGCGACGGTGGCAGTGGTGGTGGAGTGGGATAAAGAGTGGTAAGGTGGTGGTTGCAAATTATTTGGTTGATTTTGACCAATAAATAATATGTGTCAAATGAAATATATAATGTGTGACCAATAAATATATATGACCTAAAAATTTGTTACGTTGTGACCAATTTGATAATTTGTGACCTAAAAATAATCTGTAACCAATTAATTTGATATTTTGTGACCAAGAAATAAATTGTGACTTATGAAATTTGTGATTTATGCCCAAGGAACAATATGTGATTTATAAAATTTGTGATTTGTGACTGCGACGTTGTAATTGTAACCAGTACATAATTGTGATAATAAATTATATAATATTGTGATCTTAATATATTTAATTAATAAAATGTATATTTAATTAATTATTTAATAAATAAATATTATTAATATTTGATTTTTGATGTTTAAACCTTATTTCTTAATTTTGAGTCATACGGAAGGGATTATGTTTATTTCTTATACAAAATTTTTTCCCAAAAAAGTATTCAACACCAAGCCCGCAGGCAGAAGGGGTGGTCCATTTTCTTGCTTAGGGTATTTAATTAGTTCTTCACTTCATGCTAAGTGCTACCAATACAGAAGGGATTATGTTTATTGGACGTCGGATTAGAAAGGACTGGACGGGATCAAGGTATAAGAGGAACATGAAATGTTTGTCTATCATCTTATCTAATTCTAATTCCATCGAGTACGATTTCCATTTTTTATTAGGGAATCATAGATAGTTAGCTCGATTCTTTATTCCGTACTAAATGCTACCATACAGAAAGTTTAAATGATTTACCCCTAAAATATACGTACATTCAAATTTCAAAGTTAAAACCCTAAATTAATTTGTGTTCGTTTACAGTTGTATTCCGATCTAATCCAGTTTACTATTGAACACCAAACATATCCTAGACTTTTCGTTGTTCTTTAATATTTTTACACTGTGGACAGGGAGAACTCGTGTAGAATCATGTCCAAATCCTCAGAACCTAAATTCAACATACCATGTGCCTGATGGCCTTCTAACAGGTAACAAACTCACCACATTTAGCTATTCCATTAAGCCAAGTAGAAAAGACAAATTCATATGCAATATTACAAAAGAATTGCCACTTCCTCTGCTATCCAGAAGAACTTGTTTGTCAATGAGGGCCATTTGTGTAATAAAATGCTAGAAGCCAAAATCTTTCGAATAAGACAAAGGTCTGTTTGGTTTTTAGCACCTAAGGGAACCTAAAAAAAGTCACGAGGAAAAGTGTTGGATACCCTTAATTAAGCAGGCAAAAGGGGTCTCCATTTTTTGATTAGTGAATCAATAGTGTTTGGCTGTCTCTTCACTTGATGCCAAACACTACCATACAAAAGAGAAGGGGATGATATTTTTGGTAAGTTTGATTATTTTTAAGGAATCGGGACATACGGAAAAAATAAGGTTAAATGCACGACAGGTCATTCAAATTTGAATGGAGTTACATTCGAGTCGCTCATTTTAATTTGGTGTAATGAGATCACTCATTACGATTTGCTTCCAGATCTGGTCACTTACTGGATTCTAGCTGAATATCGAGAAAATATGACCCACAATATCAAGATCACTTCGATTCTACCGATAATAACCAGTCTAACACTTATTTATTCAACCAAATATTAATAAATTGTTGAAATAGATATTTCTTTTGGTTCAAAATAAATAACCATATTTGATTTGATCAACAAACTTGTTGAACCCAAAAATTGTATCAATGATGTGACCAACACATTCCAAAGTTTCTCACGTTCACGTAAGCTAAATCCCAACACACTTGGACAAGCTGTTAGTTAAACGCATGCACTCTGACGATCGAGTCAGCTAGATGGATAATTTAGGGTGTGGGGAAACTTAGAACGTGAGGCTCCAATCGATAAAAAAAAGGGTTGGTTTAGGAGTAGAACACTAAAAGTGTATGTAGCAAGAATATAGGCTTGAAAGTCTAAACTTGCATTACCCCCGAATGGTACTCAATGTGAGTTTTTATACTTGGGCAAGATAAATGAGGCCCATCGGATGATGGGACACGTGGCCTCATCAGGTGGATTGACTGTTCTTGTCGTGTACGTCAATCAATCAAGGCATTAAATGCTAGAGCTAGTTTCGTGTCCATAAGTCCTAGCTTGGCAGTTTGGATTTGACCGTATAGGTGTTCATAGGCAGTGGTGGCAACGAGTTGTCTTGTTAATCATTCACCGCAAGATCTGTTTTAAAGATCTTGCAACTGCCTCAGGGCCGGTTCCTGCATGGGGGTCTTACAAAATGAGGTCGGTCCAGTCTCATTCTGTGGAGACGAGTGGTCGCCTCTTTGTAACATGGTTGCCCCCACCGCTGTGCAAGGCGTGACCCCCTCGGTAATCTGCTACGTGGGGCCTTTAGCCTATCCTATGGGTAACAAAACTTGTTGATTCAAATATAAATATTAGTTTAGATAGAAAAAATTTAAAACTGCAAAGTTCAAATTTTTTATTCATGATAAACTAGCAAACATTGAAATTCTAGTTCTTGCTTCTAAGGAAAATAAGGAACGATGTTCGAATCCAGCTACATTAATATGAAGAATTAGCCAAAATTAATATAAAGAGATGCATCCATTATTTTGTATAATTCTCAGTGGTGGCAATCGAGCCGAGCTGGCTCGTGGGCTCGGCTCGTTGCCACCGAGCTACGAGCCGCTCGGGCTCGTCAAAAGACGAGCCCGATTTTTCACGAGCGGCTCGAGCTCGTGGGCTCGTTCAAAAATTCATTTTTTTTAAAAAAAAGGCATATTTTATTAATATTTAAAAAAAAAAAAAATTACCCGAGCCACGAGCTAAAAAATGAGCGGCACACGAGCCACATGCTCGTGGGCCAAGCCAAGCTCGGGTATTTGTAACGAGCTGAGCTCGTGGGTCAATGGGCCGAGCTGGCTCGGCTCGGCCCATTGACACCTCTAATAATTCTGTTCAATATTATGTACTAAACGAAGTGCGTGTAAAAATGGTATAAAGATACATAGACAAAACAATATCATAGCCGGCTCGGCCCATTGACACCTCTAATAATTATGTTCAATATTATGTACTAAACGAAGTGCGTGTAAAAATGGTATAAAGATACATAGACAAAACAATATCATCCCATGATTCCTCGTAAAAGAATTACATATTTTTTCCCATCACTTTTTGGTCAGTTTTAACGTTTGGGCATATGATTCTATGCTATAAGACTTGACCAAATTATAGTTTAGGACTTTCTGGAAAGAGAATAATGTTTTGGGTATATGGTCACTTGGGAGAATATTTCTCTAATCTCTATGCTTAAAAAGTTTAATCAGTCAAAAGTAGTTCTAAATTAAAGAATTTTATTATTTTTAAGTAGAAATAAGAAAGTCACTTTTGACAAAAAAAAAGGAAAGTTGGCTCGTGAGCTCGCTTGCCATTGGAGAGTGAAAATGTAATTATTAGTTTAAAACAAAACATGAGTTGCAGTGGCTTCACGAGCTGACTCGGCGCTCCTCAAGGGACGAGTTGGTGAGGTGAGTTCAGTCGGGATTTTTGAAAACAAGTCGGCTCGCGCTTTACTTGTTCCATATACAAGTGTGAGCTAGCTCACGTGGCAAGTTGAGCGAAACTAGATGGTAAATGAGTCGAGCAGCTTGATTCGACCCATTTAACATCCCAAGAGATTGGCAACTACCATCAAATTCAGTCTCCTAATTTAAGAACATTTTGTCTTGTAATCAATGACATATGGCACACCTTTTAAGCTTCGAAACAATTAAAGAGAGTTTGTGCTTACTTTTAATTAAATAGTAATTTATTTTACCTAGGCACATTTTACTACTTTACCTATAATTAACGCTACGTGTTTGACATACAATGGCGTCGAAATTACCCTTCTCTTCAAACAAGTTGAATGATTTATACTCAATGAATTTGAAAGCCGTGTTTCGACCTAAGAAGAAAGATGAGCCAATTGATTTAAAAATGCTTTTTTATATATATATTCTCAATCAATGACCAGATATATCGATTTTTTGCATACAAATTTATCTTACGCATAATTGTTTCCTTCAATTAAGAGCATGTTAGATATACTTAACTAAAAATAAGTTAAATTTATTTTTAAGTTACTTATTTTACAAGTGCGTATTACAATAAAATTACGAACCTTTAATTATAATTTCCATCATTAACCGCTAACACTAATTTTAAACACCGCCATTTCTCTCATCCTACCCTTATTATTATGTACAAGCATCACCTTCAAAATTAGGGAAAACAAATCGTTAGAATTCCGTTAAAGAAACGTTATGTTGACACTCGTCAAGTGATGGAGACCATAGGGGTGGAGGCGGGAGCTTTAACTTGTGAAAGTACTCTATGAAATCAATTCCACTTTCACGTTGAACTAGCTCGTGTGTTAAACTTGTCTCGTCTCTTAACGGCAAAAATGGTGGTCGTACGACTTCCGTCAACAAATTCCATTTCAACCCGCGAAAGAACTCGTGTTCCTTAATCTCACATGCCCCTCCACGATACCCAAGGCGGCGCGTGGCGTCTTTTTCTAACAACTTTCTAATCAAGTCCGTTAATAGATTGGGCTTGCCGAAGAATTCTGGTCGGCCCAATAATATTTTCTGAAATGTTTCTTTTCTGTTCTTCCCTTTAAATGGTGTCGTTCCATATAACATTTCGTAGCTAAGCACACCAAGTGCCCACCAATCGACGGAAAATTCATGGCCGTCGCCGCGTATAATCTCCGGCGCGACGTATTCCTCCGTGCCCACAAATGAATACGACCTCTCATTCGACGGAAAATCATCTGGGTTGCTCCGGCTAACCGGCGACACACGGGCACTTTTCACCTTCTTCAACCCTATCTTGTTATTGTTGAATGCACGCTTTCCTGCTTTCGAAATAATGAAGCGCGTGAATTTTCCTGTGAGATGAGTGTACCTTAAATTCGCCAGCGATTTTTCCTCCGGAGAGGAGTAGTATTCCAGATTGTCTGGTTTTCTTGGGGCTAGGTTCCTTGACAGGTCGAAATCCGTTAACGTCACGTGGCCGGATTGTTGTACGAGGATGTTTTCCGGCTTCAAGTCCCGGTAAACAATGCCTTGTCCATGGAGGTGTTCCAAAGCACAAACGATTTCCGCTAAATAAAAGCGGATGACTGCCGGCGAGAAAACGCGGTCGTTTTGGCTGTACCGTAGCACGTTGAGGTCACCGCCGGGGCAAAACGGGATGGCCCAGCAAATGATTTCATGATTTTCAAACGATCCAATAAGGTACGGAAGAAAAGGGTGTTTGTGGAGGCGGCTGAGGACCGAGATTTCGTGGCGGGCGCGGCGGTCGGTGTGGCGGAGAGAGGATTTCTCCACCACCTTGAGGGCGAAGGGGCTGCGGGCAAAGGGGTCATTTGACTTGTGATGGACGAGGAACACTGTGCCCATAGCACCTTTACCCAGTAATTTTATGGCTCGTAGGTTGTCCAAATCTAACAACTCAGGCGGCGGCGGAGCTGTATTGGTAGCCATTATAATTCTGGGGAGATAAGAGAGAATGTCAGTGAGTAGATATGTTTGACACAGAGGAGGTATATATAGAATACACACACATGCAATAGCACACGAGGTGATCATAGAATAGAGAAGAGAGAGAGAGAGAGAGGGCAAGTTTGGTTACGCTTGAATACAACTAAAAGTTGCTTATAAGTTATTTCTAATCCGTGGCAATTAAGATTAGAATAAAAAATTGCATTTTTGACCTTCAAATGTTAGCAAGTTAGTTCATAAGTTTATAATATAGTTGTGTAACTATAATCAGTCTTCTATGAAATCGTCAACGGACTCACATAATCAACTTTATGAAGTTCGATTTTGTGTTCAAACTTTGATCGAAGTCTAAATTTGAAATAAATCATATTTTTATGAAGGTTTGGTTGTCATTGAATGAAATCTGGAAAGTTTAGAGCATATTTGTCATCTATTTTTTTAAATTGCTTTTCCCTCAAACTCATTTTTATTCACATTTTAAGTGAGACTCACAATTTTTATTAATTTTTCGACTTTACATTTCATTAATTTTTATCAAAATTTATTAAAAAACTGATTTTTTAGCTAAATCAAACAGGGTTAAGTGTCATTAGGAACTACTTTGTGCAATTATAAGAAAATATTTGAAACCTACTTTCTTCTTTTTAAAGTATAAGGACTATCTTGCTACTTGAGCAATAAGTTGGGGACAATTGGTGAATTTTTTTCCTTAAATTGAAGTTTATGCTCTAATTCTACTCATTAATAAATAACTCTTTTATTTTATTTTATTTTATATTTAAAGCTTGCACGTGGGTAATGGGTTGCACCCGTGTCAAATTTTTATTATGATTTCGAATTTATTGGGTTTCTTAAAATTTTAGTTAGTTGCAAGACATGATATTTGACATTTGCAAAAGGTCAATTAATTACCACTCATCATCTTAAATGATTTGTCAAGGATTCTTTTTGACTGATGAATCGTGCGTATATTGTATTGTTTAGTGGAGAGAATTAAATCTCCAATCTCAGTCACTAATTTTCAAAATTGTTTTCAATTGTTAAGATATGGAGATTGAATGAATACGTTACGCTCCTGCATAAGAGACGGGTCACGTGGTAATCAGCTAAACAAAAGGTTACGTAAGGTCACACTCCACTTCACATCACCTCTTCCAAATCATTCTTTCGATACGATTATGTTATGCCTTTAGATGCATCAGAATATTAAAATTATCCGAAGCGATGCAGTAGCGTTGCTCAGTCGGATCACAACTTTTTAGACAATATTTAAGAATAAGCTATGGATTTACACAATTAAACTTGCGATTGCTCTATATGTATATCACAATTTACAGATTAGATTATGTGCGATATTTGATTGGGTCAAAATTTAATCAACCTAAAAAAATAAAAATCCCCCACAATTTGTAAAAGATATTGTAAATGACGATGTACAACAATCATTTTCCTTAAACTTGACAAGTGAACAATTAGGATAAGGTCACATATTAAGCATTTAGAGGGAACCTCTTCTACTTGTCTCTTCACATATAAATACTCTTATCATTTTCCAGAAAAAAGGTAAATAAACACACAATACGTGTAACCTAAAACCCCACACATATTTTCATCCATTATATCTCTCTCACATTTAATATACTTCATCACCTGACTTGAGTGTCGAAGTGCACATTACTATCACACCCCGTTAGAGCTACGGTCCGTGCAATCTAATGTGTCGCTCCAAAAAGATCGGCTAATGACAATCTATCTCAAACTAGACCGTTATAATCCGAATTTACTTGGATTTAAGTGTGAAGGTGGGAATGGGGAATGTGAAATGTACTTCTATTTTTATGATATCAATTTTGATTACCTTAGTGGCTACTCAATTTTATACTTCAACAGGTAGAGAATTCAATACTTTAAATGAAAATTTTTATTAGTTCTTATAGAAAATAAGAACTAAAATTATTTGTCTAAATCTAATGAAGATGGGGCAATAAAAATAAATTATCAAAAAAAAAAAAAATTTAAACGGGGAAAGGACCCACTCCCTCCCCCGCCTTAAACGGGTAACGGGGCCGGAGGAGGGGAAGGCCGCCCTGCCTCGTTGTCATCCCTAATCCAAGCATCTTAGTAAAATTCAAAAAAAAAAAAATGTAATTAAATAAAGCAAAAAGGAAAAGAATATTTCGGGAGCTAAATCACCTCTTTGTTCTCTTTTTCATGAAGTGCTTTCTAAGTATCCTTTCTTGACCAAAACGGTTTAGTATAATCCTCAAGAAGTGTTTATCGACTTTTTCGATGAGAGACGAGAAAATAGAAATTGAACTCCGGTCTGCATCTGCAAGGCGCGACTCAACAAGCAATCAAAGGAATGCAAGTGTTGGTAGAAACAAAATGTATGGGTTTTTGCCTATTACCAGTTTCGCACGATAACTCAAGTATACTAGAATATCAAGTGTCTCTTTAATGTTGGCATCTCCATATTGAAAAATTAATACTTCGTAAATGTTTACTAGAGTAAAAAATACGTAATTCTAACTTTAAATAGCAAGAAATCTTGAAAAATAATTTAAATTAGGTCGATTTTTGAGCATCTCTTCACCACAATTGCCCCACTTTGATTTCTTAAACCCTAAATATACGTTTCAAACTTCACATAATGTGTTGTCTGCCATCATTTGGTACGAAAAAATGCAACCTTTCACCGAAGAAAGTCCAAAGTGAAAGGCAAGATAGAAGAAATATATTTGTGGTAAATTCCTTCACGGTTCCCAACCTTTTCTAAGTGTGTTAGCTATGTCTTCAACCTTTTATTTGTGGCACACATGTCCTCAATCTTTTAACACGATGCGCAAGATATCCTCACCTAATCGGCACTTAAAGGGTAAAATTGTCCAAAAGAAATTAATGCCACACTTTTTGTTTGTTATAACATATTTTAATTGTAATAAAAGTTCTCAACCTTTGCTCATTACTGTACTTATGTCCTCAACTTTTTTTGTCGTGTTTTTATCCTTAACCTTCAATTAATTAGCGTATCATATCCTAATAATGGTTTTATCCAAATATTCTATTATGCATGCTTTGAAATGATGGACAATTTTTTGTCCAACTTTTGTATTTGCTTATTTTTACTTATTTAAAAATGAGGGACAAAATTTGTTTTTGTAATCTTACGGGATTTTTTTGGACGAAATTGTCATTAAGTACAAAATGTACCAATAAATGAAAAGTTGAGGATAAGAATGCGAAGGAAAAAAGTTAAAGATATTTAGAAACCTTCATTGCAATTAAGATGTGGTATATCAAATAAAATACGTGAATATAACGTTAAGGACACTGTGAGCATAATGTTAAAATGTCGAGGACGTGAGTACTACAAATGAAAGTTGAAGACATATATGCTATACTTATGAAAGGTTGAGTACTTCATGAGGAGTACACACACACACTCCACTCATTGTCTAAGGTTGGGAACCTGTGACTTTTGAGCAAAAAGATTTGCATATTTTGATGATGCCTTGTCGTGTCGGCCATATATTTACCAGTGAAAAGCAGCCATTAGAATGATTGATATGAAATTAAAGTATAGTTAAATTTGAAGGTAATTCTCCACTTAAGTTATACTAATTTTAATTTTTGGAATACAATCCTCCTAGAATATTTATGGATACAAAGAAGAAAAATTGTGTTATGGTCATTTTTGTGTACATTTAAAGCATTTTCTGTAAGAGAATAAGATACCACTATACAATATTGAGAAATAAATGACAGATTTTTGTGCAAGCGCCGTAATAAATTCAGCAATTAATGCAATAGAGAAATATGGGAGAACGATAAACGGCTGAATTTGTACAATCAAAAAGAGTCGAACAATTTGAGATTGTTGGTGAAAAGTTTCGAAAGCTAAACTCATCGATATTTGAGGATGCACTCGACCAGGATTAGTTGAGAATTCTAGAGAGCACGTTCAGATATAGTAGAGTTTCAAAAGAAGAGAAAATAGTTTGCCCATCTTTCTTGTTTGCTGAACACCGTGGGATACAAGGAACATCATAGAAGATATCAAACGATGATGCAAGATGTTCTCCGATTAATATTTAGTTTTATCAATTTCGTTATGTATTAATAGGATATTACAAAAAAGAGAACCATTTAATTTCTATTCGATGTGAGGTTCATAAGAGTCCCATTATAAGTAGGAAACTAAATTTTTTATTCTATTTAGGATAGACAAACGCAATCATAGAACAATTTCGAGTCAAAATCCTAACATAAATGTAGGAGGTTTTTTAAAATGAGAAATGTAGTTCGAAGAAGTTAAAGTCCGTCGTCTCAACTAAAGCATTAAGCTGTGAAAAAACAAAAATACTATTTAAATAGATTTGTTTTGATATCAAAGTTGAATTTCAATAATAATAATAATAATCTAGTGAGTATGATATTCTTAATTTTGGGATGAACGTGCATGCCCACGACTATCGGCATTGACAACCATGAATCACCTCGTAGAAGTCTTTCTAATTGCTACAAGGAAACAAAAACGAAATGTGACACAACATGATATAAAAATAGTTATTTTCGAAAAAATAGAACACGAAACACAATGAAAAAATTATATTAAAAATTATTTCTAATTTATTTTAAAATTTAATTTTTAATTTTGAAAAACTATTTATACGATATAAATAATAAAAAAAAATACCACGACTATTCTAGTCTAATTGTAACAGATACACAATATTATCTTAAAAATTATAAATGATCAAATTATTTATGTTGTTTAATGATAAAAGATTGAGAATATAAACGAAATAATTTCCTTAATCTGATCTTAAATAAAGTTTGAAACTAATAATTGTTCTTTATTTAATTGTTTTTTTTTCTGGAATTCAAATTCTCTTTCATGGAAGTTCAATAGAAAAATATAAAATTTTCAAGTGGAAATGGAATTGGAATTTTGGACGGCCGGCACAAATAATTAATAAATTAGGTTTGTCTTAAAACCTAAAATGTTAATTCTTTTAGTATAATAATTAGTAGTTTTTTTAAAATTTAACAACAAAATATATAAAAAAATAAGAAAACATTTACGAGTTTCCAAAACATTCACGAAACTTGTCTGAAACAAACGCTAACCAAACATTGTGGAACTTTTCATGTTCGTTGTCGAATCGAAAATACACGTTGGATCACTTGCAGGTCCACCTTAACATGGTCAAAAGAGCCTTTTTTATCGGAGAAGTGAAATAGATTAGCATGGAAGGTCGATCCAAGACTCCATCAATACAAGTCAACAGATATACGGAAGACATTATATAAAAACATCATGACAAGATTGAAAATGTGTTCCACCTTGACGGAAGCACCGCCCACAACAACCAATAAGGTACATATAAGGTCTAGATATTATGATGATCCCATCACAATCAAACTCTCTAGTCAATCAAATCTCTTTAAAACAGGAGTGGCACATGGACCTAGGTCAATCACTATAGCTCGACTTGACTATGGCATCAAACTCGAGTCCTATGGCCCATATAAAGGAATGAAGGACACCAAAAAATTGCCGAACTTAGAAATCTCTATAATACTAATACTGAAATTCATGCTTTTACTTTATTCAAATTACGGCAATGTAACACTGTTACTCTAGCCTCTATATTCATATAAGTTGATAAAAAAAAAATGTAACGTCATTTTTTGTCATCAACATTCCATAAATTCTAACTCTCGAGAGCAAACATGGTCAAGACAGATTGGAATTGGTCTCTCTAAATATCAAAGTGCTAAAACAAATTGCAATGTTGAGATTCGAATTTCTCATCAATCAAATAATATGTATGAGCTATGCACGTACATAATCTTTTGTACATGGCCTTTTCTATCAATTACTTAGTAAATTGACAAGAAGACATCCGAGGAAGAAAACATCTGGAGTCGATTCAGAATTTGACGAGAATATTTCCCACATAATACAGCGATGAACCAGCTAATCATTAATCAAATAGTCAATGCCATCTTGGATATATAAGATTCACAACTTCCATGGAATATTACCTAAACCCTAAAAATTTGTGTCTTTTTTAGTGTTATTTCTTGATCAATAATCCACAATGTGTGTGAATAACACAGAAGGAAGTGCAAAACCGTTCAACAGTTTCAGACAATTGACGGAACCCCGATTCCAAATGGTGGAGGGGTGGCGGGTCAGTGGTCGACAAGTTTATGTGGTTGCTTTGAAGAAGCCTCCAATTGTAAGATTATTCTTATTATCATTGCATTCACTTTATAATTGACTTATTATTGTTTATCTTGTATGTAGGATCGGCCCTCGGATTTTGGGTGCCATGTATGACATTTTAAAATGGTGCCACATGCAACTTTCATGTAATTAAAAAATATATTAAGAAATTTTAGTTTTACCACATTTCGCATCGCAAGCTTTTTGGACTGGGTTAAACTAAATTTGGGTCATCATACTTTAACAATAGTTAAGCACAACACATTGAAATTAGCTATAAATGAGCTTAAACCATGTGAATTCTTTACCTTAGTCTAATAAAAACATGTTGTATGATACGCAATTAGGAATAAGAAATACAATAATATTAAATATGAGTCATTATTTGTTTATTTTTGTTTTTTTTACTCTTTTTTCATATATATCGTGCCATTTAACTTAATGTAATAATAAAAATTTAAAAATTTTAAATTAATAAACATTTTAAATATATAATTATACATATATATACACACCTATAACAATTTTTTTGATGCCTCTACAATGCTGAGGCCCTGTGCGATCGCCCAACTCGCGTCTCCTCAAGGCCACCTCTGCTTGTATGTGTCTCTTGTTTTGGACACTGATAGTTCCACCTGCATGTGACAACTTTTGAATAAGTGTGAAAAAACCAAATTAATGAATTTCAAAAGAGAGTATCAAAGTTAAAGAAATAGTTTTAGCCCCTGTTTGATTTAGTTAAAAATTAGATTTTTAGGTAGATTTTTATAAAAGATGAAGAAATACGTGGTTGAAACTTGGTAAAAGTGATAGGTCCTATGTAGGGCTGTCAATGGATTGGATTTTGATCCGAATCCGACGAAATAAATGGGAGATGGATTTAGGGTCATAGTCCGATAATCCGATCAAGATCCGAATCCGATAATCCGTTAACTAAATGGATCAAATATGGATATAGGTCAA